TCAGATGCTCTTAATGTCATTTATGTTAAAGTATTAATACATCTACTTGCATATTTCCCTTCACTTGGGTTAATTATTTTTCTTGTTTTGAGGTAATTAAAATAATTGTTCTTACATTAGTTTCAGAGTTGCCAGATAAAATAGAGGACATTTTGTTAAATTTGAATTTCAGATAAACAATGAATAATTATTTAGTAGGAGTATGTCCTCAATATTGCAATTATTTATAATTTATCTGAAATTCAAATTTAACTGGGTCTCCTGTATTTTTATGTGCTAAATCTGGCAACCCAAACTAGTTTCTTTCTCCTTTTTCTCTTTTTTTTCCTAATTAACATGAATGGATTATTACATGTCAGCCACTGTGCTTGGAAACTGGGAGGCCTTGCTTGTACCAGGGGCAACACCAGAATGCTGTCTTTTCTTCCAGACAAGCACCTCTGACTGATACCCACAGCACAAGCCCGCTGCAACCCAGCTAACACCTCCAGTTCACACCTCCCGCTCAACCAGTTCTCAGCTGACCCCATTATCTCTGACTCACCCACTTAGGCTTCTGACTTCTCAGAGGGAGGGAATCAGGTTAATTATGTTATGATGTTACTTGCCCACATTTTTAAAGCCATGCAAAGCAGCAGGACCTCCATGCACCTCAGTGCTCTTGTAAAAACCATCTGTGTTGCTCTACATACTTGCCAGCACTTGGGGGAAAAAAACCAAAAACATCTATGGTGGGAGTTGAGGGGCCCCACCCCTCCACAGCACCCACACATGGTGTCCTATATTCATATTGGCACAAAAGCCCCATAACCAGTGGGGCCTGTGAGCATCCTGAGGGCAGGGGTTGTGTCTTTTGCATTCGTGTATTCCACACAGTTAGCACCAGAGCTGGTACATAGTAAGTGCTCAATAAACATTGGTTGACTAAATGAACTAATGGATAAGATCATAAGTGGAGGAATGGGCACTAAAATAGGAGTTATCAGAGCCTGATCCTGGCTGGGTTCTGTCTGTATCTGGCTGTGTGACTGTGAACAAGGCACTTCCCCACTCTGAGCCTCTGTTTCCTCATCTGTGAGAGGAGGATAATAATGTCGTCTCCTCCTGCTATCCTTGGAGCATTAGGGTGAGCCTTCGGGGACTGAGGAACAAATACTCATGTGTCACCTGAGAGAGGAGAAAGAACATCATCAATATCTGTCCCTGGAGACCACATTTTATGGACCAAAAACCTAGTGCTGTGTTCTAACAATTTTTTATCTTGGCTCTGAGTGACAGAATTTAAGTACCAGATTTGGGGGACTAATAAGAGACAAGGTAGAATCAGTACTGCTCCTGATTTTCCTGGACATACTATGAACTGTCACATTGAGAGTCAGTGAGTTGTAGAATGTCAGGTCTGGAGGGCAAGTATCTTGTCCTCAGGGTCACCCAGCCTGGGGGCAGCTAGACTAAAACCCAAGTCTCCTGACACCCAGCCCAGGACACTTTTTTTTACTGCATCAGCGAGCTGGCACTCCAAGGATGGGACACCTGGAGGGGATCTAGGCAGGGACAAGGAGGCCAACCCCCACAGCCTTGCAAGCACCAGACTGTCATAGATGTGGCAGGTGGGTATCTGTCTTGCTTCCATGGTGAATAACCCAGATCACACCTTTGTGCAAGTTAATTTCTTTATTTGCTCAAATAACAGTACAAAAATGAGACTCAGATGCCAGCATCAGAAGCACATATCAAATACTCATAGGGCTTCAAGAACATCATTCCAAATAAGAAACTATGTACAAAAGGTTCCTGACCTTCATTTCATAACTTATTCTGATCCTTCATATTTGGGTGATCGTGAACACTGCCTAAAACAAATCCACAAATAGCTCACCTCTCCCCCACTTCTCAGAAGCAGCAATAAAAACTAAATGGCTTTCCAGATAGGCTGAATTGAGCTTATGAAGCCGGTGCCTCAGGTTGGAGGCCAGTCCCGTGTAAGCACCCAGGGCCTCTCTGTCCTAGGCTGCTCCTCCTCCCCAGTCCTACCCCGTGGTGTGACAGCAGGTTCAACACAGCAATACCATGTCCCCAAGGGTCACAAGATCTCACTTGCCATCCAGGTTTAACACCCTTTCCCCCGTGACCACATGTTCTGGGCAATGTCCAAGGGCGCCGGCTGTCTGTCTATAGTCTTGTCCTTCCTGCACATAGATATGAACATGTGGCAAATTTCACGCCTGAGTCAAGCTGTTGAAACTTGAGCTGTTCAGAAGGCAAAGCCTCTGGCACCCCCATACTTCACCTTTGTGCAACTACAAAAAACAGCCCTTTCTCAAGATGTGTTACTGCTATCAGCTGCAAAACTGTCATCATAAATCAACAAACCCACAATGTCTAGCATATGAATAGCACCTCCTGGAGTATGGTGCTCTTGAGCAGTGCACCCCTGTGCAACAATCCATGGCAGTCTAGCCCATTGAAGCCCTTCTCCACTTCCTGAAAACTACCCAAAAGAAGCTATAGTACATACATGGACATGGCACTAGGTAATTTTCAGAACTCTTCACACCCATTTTCTCACTGACTCCTCGCCAATCCCATGAGATGGGAGAGGTGCAAGGTATCAGCTCCATTTCTCTAGTCACAGAATGTCAGGACACAGGGTCAGAAGGATTCTGAGAGACCAAGGGTCCACAGTCTCTAGGTCTTTCCATCTGGGGCCTGCAGAGTTCCTGGGAGGCATCTACAAATCCGTATGAGCACAAAGAACTGCCGGTCAACTGAAGAAATGATGGGATACACTTCGATGCACATCTGCTTGGATGCATGTAAATGTTCTGGTTGGAGATTAAATAAAAATTTAGTTTAAAAACTAGACTCAGTTAAAATGAACATCTGAGAAAATATCAGTAGGCTTTCTGGGTGGGCTACTAGACTCCAAATTCCAGAGAGGAGTGGGGATGTGTGGAGGGTCACGCAGCAATTCTGGGGTAGGTCCAGCAGGTGGAACCCTGGTCTCCTCACTCCCAGTCCAGTGCTGATTTCCCCAGACATGGCCTCTGTGTCTTGCCTTGTGGAAGAATGCTTTGTGCTTCTCAGATACTAGGCTATGGACACAGAATGGTTGTCTGCTCTTGTCTTCCATCACATTTGTGAAGCAGGGATTGGGACATCACAGAGCATCTTCAGGGTCTCCTGGCTAAAGCTGCAAACCGTTCGGCTAGTTCAAGGGAATTTGAGTGCAAGACACAGGTTTCAATCTGGACTTTGAATCTCAGGACTTGTGATGTTCTGGGAAGAGAAAAAGAACATAGATATCAGCCACAGCTCAATTATTTATGGGTTCACTCTGGAAACAACAGACTTCCCATTATCCCATTGACACCCCACCCCAGCCTCCATCTCTGGGTCTTTGATCTTGCAACACCTCCTGCTGACATTGCTCTCCTGATCCTTTCTCCCCAGACAGCCTCCCCATTCTCAAAGGTCAAAATCAGCACCTCCACCTCCTGGAAGGCTCCCAGGACCAACTTGCTTCATGGGCCTCAGTTACCATTCCTTTGGCATTTGGTTGCTATTTAATTTTGTCATCAAACAGTTGTCTTTTCCATTGGCAGATGAAGCTTTTGAAGGCAGAACCTTCCACAGAGCCTCACAGCACTTCGCACAACTAAGCACATAGGAGGCTGTCAACAGCTACCAGTTAAATGAATGAATGAATGGATAGATGGTTAGTAAAACCAGAAGATAGAGTCAGGGCAACTGAGGATGTCAGAACTGATGTTTCTATAGTATCTTTCACGAATAACTCAGATCAACCTGTAAGCTATTACCTAACCCACCCTAGAGGGCAAATTATCTGTAACATTCCTGTTCTCTCAGAGAAGACAGTGAGTCCAAGAAGAGAGACAGGTCTATGGTAAGGAGGATTTCCCACCAGGATAATGAGCCAAAGTAGAGCAGAGTATTCGAATGACAAGATACAACTATCATGAAATAAGCCAGCTCTCTTGAGAGACTTTTCAAATGGCTTCTAAAGGTAATTCCAAGAAAGACAGAAGTGTTTCGGGTGATAGTAGCATCATTGCAGAAGTGTCTGGTTTCCCAGGGAACCACTTGGATGTAGAAGTTCTGGTCCTGTTTGTCCAACACCAGCAAACAGAACATTTCATTCCTCTAAAGTCACACCTTCATTCAGTGGTTTCTGTACTGCGGATCTGGGTCAAATGTTTGTAAGCAGGTTATGTTAAGTGAATTAGAAAAGGATGAAGAAATCTTTATCAGAGTCCACCAGAAAATATGAGAGATCAGAATTTTTAAAAAATCAGGCCAGGTGTGGTGGCTCATGCCTGTAATCCCAGCATGAACTTTGGCCTGGGAGGCCAAGGTGGGAAGATTGCTTGTGGCCAGGAGTTCAAAACCAGCCTGGTCAACATAGTAAGAACCCATCTCTATATAAAAAAATAAATAAATAAAAAATAAATTAGCTAGGCATGGTGGCATGCACCTGTAGTCCCAGCTACTTGAGAGGCTGAGGTGGGAGGATCATCTGAGCCCAGGAAGGTTGAGTCTACAGTGAACAGTGATTATATGATTGCACTCCAACCTGGGTGACAGAGCAAGACCCTGTTTCAAAAAAAAAAAAAAAAAAATCAGTGACAAGCATCATCTCTCAAGGGAATATCTCAGCGACTTGGAGGGGGGGAAATTATTAGGAAAAGCATCAATGCACTCAGAACAGTGAAGGTGACGTCAGGAGAGAGGCTGTTCATTAAGCAACCAAGGCCAGGTCAGTGAGTGATCGCCTCCTGGAAGCCTTCCAGAACCAACAGCCCATGGAGCCTTCTTGTCTACCTCAGCCACCCCTTATTTGATAGATAACCTTAGTTTGTTATTTACATTTTATGACAGCCTAGAATTGAGAAGGCAAGCAACAAAGCCCACAAAATAATAACAAGGCAAGCTAAGATCATAGTCCATCCAATATGCCATTCTATCAAAAAAGCATGGAAATGTACATGTAATTGAAGACTAGAACCAAATCAAGAAGATGCTAATTATGGAGTAAAATCAGTGAGGTTTCAGAAAAGAAAAAGGTCGTCATGGTTTAGAATTGTCTCAGAAGGCCTCAGTGAGGAGGTGGCATAGACCCCAAAATTCTGAACTGAGCAGGGGAGGGGAGAGGAGAATAAGTAGATCCCACTGGAGGCCAGCTGTGAGCCTGCTGTCACTTATGCCACATCGCCATTGTCTTCCCCGCCCTCTCTCACCGGCTGGTCCTTCCTATATGGGAACCGGGTGCAATTGTAGTGGTCTCTTAGGCCCATGAGGATGCACATGGCGTGACTGTTGTTGCCAGCAAATTTGTTAGCTAAGCTAACATCAAACTGGTAGAGTCTCCTGGCGCGGTTCCTGTCCAGCTTAGAGGAGTGGGCCACCTGGCTGCGCAGGGTGGCTACCAGCTTGCTGAGGGAGGAGTCCGAGAACTCATAAAAAAACCTCTTAAAGCTGGGGTGGCGCCTGATCTGGAAGCGGAAATGAAAGCAGGTCATTAGTGTTGCTGGCAGTATCCCTCCCGCCAACTGCCCCTCCTGCAACTCCATGCAGCCAGGCGGGGCACCTCCTCTTCCCTGGGATGAGCTCTGCTTGTTACATCCCTCCACTGCCCCTAGCCTCTCAGAATCTGTTCTGCAAGGTCCAGCTCAAAGCAGCAGGACAAAGTAGAGGGCAAGGGTGGAAGTACAGGTCTTTAGACTCAGATAATTCAGAAGCAAACACCCCACAGAGCCTTCTCATCTACCCTAGCCACTCCTTATTTGACAAGTAATCTTACTTTATTATTTAAATGTATGACAGTCTAGAATTGGGATGCTTGAGTTGCACTTACTAGGTATGTGAGCCTCTGGTCATCTGTAAAATGTAAAATATCCACCCAGCCCCAGGATTGCCGGGGGGGATTGGAGGGGGAATGAAATGAGAGAGTTTACAGAAACGATTTAGTGCCGAGTAGATGTTAGAGGAATTTTAGTTCCTTCTAAGCCTCCTCCAACAAGCTCCGTTCTGTTAATAACTAAATGAGTTCCCCAGAGGCAGACCCAGACACAAGGAATTGGGTACAGGCATTTTATTCATTAAATGATCCCAGGAAATGCTGATGGGAGAAGGAGACCTGGAACAAGAATGGGAAGGCGGCCCAAGGGGTGGCAACTGGAGCTTAATCCACTCAGGGCACCTTGGAAGCCAGCTGAGAGCATGTTCCTCAGTTATACCCCACACAAGCGAGGGAGCTGGGGTCTCTATCCACCAATTCCCACCAGCCATTGGTTGAGGGCTGCTCATGGGGAAGTGGAGGCTGTTAATTGTGCCCCCGACATGGGTTGCAAAATGGCCCTGTGTCCTCAGGCACAAGGAGGCAGGAGCTGGCAGCTGGACGGGCCAGTGTCCACTCTGGTGGTGAAGAAAGGCACCTAGAGCATCCACTATGCTGATTACTCATCTTTAACTTGACCTCTTCACATGTGATCTGTGTTTGTCTCTCCAAATAGACTGTGTTTTCCAAGGGTGGGGAACCTTCTGTTATAGACTGCCTATCGGGGAGGAAAATCAACAAGCTTGAAAGAATGGGAGACCAAATAAATGCTGAAGGGCGTGGCAAGACCAAGAGTGAACCGGGAGACCACAGGGAATGGAATCGGCTGGGCGGGTGGGGCCAGGTGTGGGCGGAGGAGGCTTCCAAGGACAGGGGACATGAGCCGAACTTTAATAGCTGATTTGGACAGGAGTGGTCCTGGCTGGGGCAGGGAGGCCACATGAGCTTTGTGTTATTTTAAACAGTTCCCTCATCTGCTACATGTCTGGTGCTTTCTACATATGCATTAAGCTTGGTCAAGGAGGTAATCATCTCTCATTTTGGAAAAGAGGAAACCGAAACTCAGAAAGGTAAAGGGACATGCTCAAAGTTGCCCAGAGGTGCAGACTTGGGGATGGAACCCAGGTCTCAGCTGTGGGTAGATGAGGCCCTGGGGTTGGCCTGGGGAGGGCTGAGTGGTGCTCACCTGCTGCCCCAGTTGGCCATCCACTTCTTGGAGAAGCTCCACAAGCTTCTGGATGATGATCTCCTCTAAGGAAAAGAAAGGAGGATTGAGTGACTGTCGACTGGGTGATGCCCAGTTCCCTTCCAAAAACAAAGTGCTGCAACGACACATCCACCTGGGAAAGACAGTATTTTCTCTCTAAAACCCAGCACACACGTTAGTTATGATGGACCAAGACAATTCTTGCCTTAAGCTAATGCTGGAGTGTGAGAGCCTTGTTTGGGTTCCCTTTATAGAAACAGAAGGGACTTTGGCTTGCTGGGCCTCACCTGTAACCACATTCAGCTTCATTTGATAGGTGGGAAACTGAGGCTCCCAGTGTCCCTTATCTAGGCTACAGACTAGCACAGTCAAGAATGGGAGTTTGGACGAGGAGCAGCACATCAGAATGCAGGGAGGGGACATGCCAGGGCTACTGACCCGTTAGGAATGCACCCGTCCACTTGGGTTCTAAGCAGCGGTGTGCCAGGGCCTGGTCGTACTAAATTCACTGTAAATATTCAGGAAATTTGTGGACTAGTTGTCTTGTTTTGTTTTAGACAGAGTCTCGCTCTGTCACCCAGGCTGGAGTGCAGTGGCGCGATCTCGGCTCACTGCAGCCTCTGCCTCCTGGGTTCAAGTGATTCTCCTGCCTCAGCCTCCCGAGTAGCAGGGATTACAGGTGCACACCACCATGCCAGGCTAATTAATTTGTGGACTAGTTGTTACAAACTGTTAGCAGCTTGAAATCAGCCACAGTAAAAATATTTATGCCATGGAAATCTGCAAATGCTACAAAGTTGGGCATTCTCCTCCCAATGGAGAGCCCGTCTGCCAGCACACCACTGCTTATGAGACCTGGAGCAAGCTAGGAATTTCGTATGAAACATTCAAGCAAACGAATGGGGGGGTGTTAATTACATCCGACAGGATAGACAGGTGTCCTCTACCTGCAACTCTGCCCCAACAGCCCCAGTTTAAGGCCAAGCCTGTGCCCTCTGCCCCCTCCTAGAGTCTCCTGGGGTCTTTGCCTGCTGCCTTCCCCATTCCTTCCTCAGAACCCTCCCCTATTCAGCCTGTGAACTCCATGTGGAAGAGAAGCGCCCGGGAAGCTGTCCACGTAAGCGCAGGAGTGGTACTGACTAGATTCACACGTTCCATTCGGCTGAGGTGCCCCTTCTGGCGTGTGGCCTCTGGCCTGGGAAGGTGCTTCTGAGATCACAACTGGCTCCCCTTCTGCGGGCAGGGGCTCCCGGCCCGCGAGATCTTCTGGATCTAGGGCAAAAAAGAGTTGTTGAGTATTTTGCAGAGAGCTGAATCTAGTTCCTGACAAGATGTTCGGAGGCACGAGCATCAGCGGGGGCTGGTTCCAGGCTTCTCCGTGAGTTTCCTGTCCCCGGCTCTGCCTCAGAGGAGTTCGTGGTACACTCCTGGCCTTCTCCAGAAACCTGACTTTTGCCCACCAACCCTTTCTGCTTCCTCAGTCCGGGAGGGGCTCAGTTAAAACAGGTGTGTCAACAGGGCCCACCAAACAAAACCCTCTCCCTCTGCCAGGTTTTCTGGGTCCCTTAGCCTGTCTGAACCTCACTTTCTCCAAGTGTTAAGTGGGAGTAATAAGATTGACCTCACAGGGCTGGGAGCAGGTTAAATGAGATAATATGTGTGCAAGTAGCACATAGTAGGCACTCTGTGATGTCAGGGGAATTACTGTACACCAGTGGCCCTCATGCTTTGGTGTAGTGAAAAAACAGGCCCACACCATCTCCTACTTCGTCAAACCCAGTCTCTGTGCTTTTCTATGAACTGGCCAGGTGATTCTGATGCACAGCGGCACAGATCCCCCACCACATTTGTTGTTAAGTGTTTGCATGTGGAGAGGGAGGCGAGGGCGTGTGCTGTGAGCAGGGGCTACCGGGGGGGGGGTCCTGCTGGCACCTGGCCCCTCACCTTTCCCCACACTTCCGCACCCCTCACTCTGCTCAGCAAGGAAATAAACAGGGCTTTCAGCAACAGTGGACATCCCCCACTATGCCAGCCTGTCAGCGACAGGCCACACAGCAGCCCTGCCCAAGAGGAAGCCTCTGTTACCATGGCAACACCAGGCCTGCTCACCAAGGCTGCTGGAGGTGGACGGCCGATGGCCACCGACACACAGGGGCAGAAAGCTGGGCCTCTTGGGCCGTCGGGCCTCCGGGCTGGCAGCCCCTGCTGCCCCCGGTCTCCTGGGTTCCTTGGAGCTGTGTTTCTTATGGTAAAACGCTCTCCTGAAGCTCGACTTTTTTTCTACAGATTTCCTTCTGCAGTGTGGGGCCGGGTTTTCTAGACCCACCTCTTCCTCCTGGACTTGAGGTTGCTGTGGGGGAGATAAGAGAAACTGAGTCGGGGCCCCTGACCTTGAGGAGATCTCAGGTGAGCTGGGGAAAGAGACCCACAGCGGGCTAGGAGGCGTTGCCCAGAGGAGAGTGGTTGATGCTCAATGCTGGGGAAATATGTGTGGTCTGGAGAGGGCTGGGGAAGCTTCAAGAAGGAGAGACTGGGTCCTGGTGCAGTGGCTTACGCCTATAATCCCAGCATTTTGGGAGGCTGAGGCAGGTGGATCACCAGGGGTCAGGAGTTCGAGACAAGCCTGGCCAATATGGTAAAACCCTGTCTCTACTAAAAATACAAAAATTAGCTGGGTGTGGTGGCGCATGCCTGTAGTCCCAGCTACTCAGGAGGCTGAGGCAAGAGAATCGCTGGAGCCCAGAAGGTGGAGGTTGCAGTAAGCCGTGATCGAGCCACTGTGCTTTAGCCTAAGCGACAGAGCAAGACTCTGTCTCCAAAAAAAAAAGAGGGACTGGAGTAGTGCTTTGGCAGAACACAGAAGAGTTTGGCAAGGACAGGGAAGGCAGGGTTGGGGAGCCCACAGTGAGGTCACGGTTACGTGGGGAGCGTCTTCCTCACCTCCTCCTCCTGCTGTTCTTCCAAATCTTGGAGCATGGAAATGATCTTCTGAATGAATTCTTCTGAAAAAGATCAACAGGCATGGTTACACTGTGGTGCTAGAAAAGCTCTTCTGCGATCAGTCTTCATTTCCTAATGTCCTGGTGGTTCCCTGGGTGATTCTCCAGGGGGCTAAAGAGCTGCCAGAGGTGGCCTGACGGCGGAGCTGGTTTCATGGGATACACATTCACTTTACCAATGAGGGGCTCTAAACAGACGCCCAGGAGAAGCCCCTCAGGGCCATCTGGAAAGGCCCATTCTCTACAGGTGCCCTCACCCTGCACCTTCTCCCTGTCCAGGCAGAATCCCCCTTCAAGGCATATTTTCTATGAAAAGCAAACAAAGCAGAATGGCAGGGGGTAGGGGGCAGAGATCTTTCCAGGTCTTTTCAGGCCTGCCAGTGATTTTATATATATATATTTCTAGGCCTGGCTCTGCCAATGGTAGAATAATAATTACAGTGATGGCAGCTGCTATTAGCTGAGCTTCCCTCCTAAGGCTCCTACCCCTCTCCCTATCCTCTTTACTTCTGAGCTCTGCTCTCAAGCTGGGTCACCCAACAACGACAATAAGAGCAACAAATGGCACCTAACACGTATTAACCACTGTCTAGGACAGGGGCTGTCCTAAATGCTGCTGCCAATTCTAGAAAGCAGGTACTTGCTGTCCCCATTTCACAGATGAAGAAACTGAGACCAGAGACGAAGTAACTTGCCCAAGTCCAGACGGCTCAAAGGGGTCAGAGCCCAGACTCAAACCCAGGTCCGTAAGATCACCCCATCGGCTGAGCACTTGTTGTGGGCCTCCCGTTGCCTCCTGTCTGCCTCATCAGGGCAAGCACCAACACTATTGCCATTTATCGAGGTTCAGTCAGGCAGCCTGGCTTGGGCCTGGGCTCTGGACCCCAAGCTGCCTCCCAGCCTGCTGTACTCAGAGGGAGGTCTGGACAGGTCACTGCCTCCCTCTGGCTCAGTGTCTCTTTGCAAGTGGGGGAGTCAGAGCAGAAATTTTGCAAGGGGTGTCTGAGAAAAGGAGAGGAGTACTGACTGTATTCCGAGGCTCTGTCCAGCTGAAGCTCCTCTCCAGGTCTCCAGCTCTCTGATGGGGTGGGAAGCACGAAGGGACCTGGAGCCCCAGCCTCTGTAGATGCGGTCTCCTGGACTTCAGGCTCTTCCAAGCCTGAGAAGCAGAAGGAAAAAGGGGGTGTGTTTTGTCCATCTGCGGCTGTCAACTATGCACAGAAGCTAGCACAGACTCTACAGTGGGTTCCGTGGCTGGATCACACTAAGGCCTTATGGGGCTGGAAGACAGCTGCTGGGCAGGGCCGTGTCTCTGATTTACTGGCCCAGACCAAGCTCCCTTATCCCTTTGTGCTTCCACAGAACTGGCTTTCCTGGGCTTTGTTGCCCTCTCCTCCCTCCACCGTTTTGACTTGATCCACAAGTTGAATAGTAGAGGCCTGTCATGTCCCATGACATGAATTAATGAATCACAGCCAGAATCCCCCTGCATGAAAATATCTCCCACGTGGCCTGAAATTCCCCTCTTTGGTGTTAAGCATCACCCCTCCTTTCTAAGCTATAAAGTCTCCTGGCCGGGATGACCTAACAGGATGGCCTGTTCTCCCTGATGCCCAGGAAGAAATGACTCGTCTGGTCCTTTCCCCCTCGAGCTCTGGCCACATCATCCATGGGCCACGTAACCTTGAACACAGTGTGTTACCTCCCAAAGCCTCAGTCCCTTCATCTGTAAGGTGGGGATAATAGTTGTACTTCATCTGATGGCTGTGAGGACTGATTGAGTTATCGATATGCAGCAGGGAAATGTCTCACTTTACAGGTGAAGAAACTGAGGCACAAAGATGAGGAATGACATAGACAATATGCTAGAACCCAGGTCTCCTGCCTCCCCTGCTCCAGCTCCTTCCTGCACACACTACTCCCCTCCCTGCCAGGGCGCAGAAGCTGAGGCAGCCAAGAAATGTGGATGGTTGGGGAATCACGGAACATAATTTCCATCAAGGGCTTATTGGGGTTGCCTAGACCTCGCTGAGGTTTTGTGTGTGGAGGTGACTCGCTGGCATTCTTTCCCTCTTCCCACAGTCATCCTCACACCGCTCAGGGCAGAGAGCAAAAGTCAGACCAGGCGCAACGCAACCTTTAAAGTGGCCAATTCCATCCCTGGGGAAGGTTCCAGAGCTGGAGGCAGCTGCAGGGTTGCTATGGCAACTGCAGAGCCTGCTCACCATAGCTGCTGGAGATGGAAGGCCGATGGCCGCCAACACACAGGGGCAGAAAGCTGGACTTCTTGGGTGGCCGGGCCTCTGGACTGGAAACATCTGCGGCCCTCCTCTTGGCCTCCTCAGAGCCGTGTTTCTTAAGAGAAAAGGTGCTCTTGAGGCTTGTCTTTTTCTCTTGGGATTGCTTCCTAACAGCCAGTGCTGGGTTTGGCAGGGCCACCCCCAGCTGTGAGATCAGAGACTGCTGCGGGGAGAGGAGAAAAACTGAGTCAGGTTCATGACATTGAGGAGAGGGGGAAAGCTCTCTGGATGCAAAGTGAAGAGTAGCCAAGCTGCAGGATGGCCCCAGGAGAGGGGAGGCAGCAGAGGCCAGAGCAGGGGGAGGACTGAGTTCTGAAGCTGCAGAAGGAGGCTTCAGGGAAGGAAGGGACTAGAGCCCGGCCTGTAAGGACAGGTGGAGCTTGACAGAGGAGGAGGAGAAGGCAGAGAGCCCCTGGAGACCTGCAAAGTTTACTCCTCACCTCTTCTTCCCACTGGTCTCCCACTCTTTTGAGCAATTCCACAATCATCTGAATGATAGCATCCTCTGGAAGAAAGCAAATGCATCCGGTTATTCTTTCTAAATGCACAGACAGCTCCTTCTAAATTACTATCTTGGACAGTTCTCTTAAACAACTCTTTAGGCCACACAATGGAGGGAAAGCACCACGTCCCAGGGGCAGGTCCTTCTGAGAGAAGGCTGGAAGATCCACGGGGAAGGCACTGAGCCAAACCATGACACTTCATGCAAGACATTTCAGGTCAGCCCTTTAGGCATTCAACTTGTGCCCCACTGTTTCCTTTGAAAGTCACAGATCTCGGAACATCTACTCTGGGTTCAGTAAGCTGTGTGACCTTGAATAAGTTTCTTAACCTCTCTGGGCCTTTATCGCTCCCAGTGAAATGTGGGTCATAATCTGTGTCCTGCCTCCCCCAGAAGGCTGTCAGGCTGTCATATGAGGGACTGGGCTTGAGAACACTTTGCAAGGCTAATGCTGATCTTCCAACCTGCAAAATTCCAGCGGGAAAATGGTGGATACCTGGCCTCACTAAGGTGGAGGATGAAAGGACATCAGCAGGCATGACACAGAGAGAGCCTGCCACACTGATGCCTCAGCCACACCCCCATCTCTGCACAGAGAAGCCACTGACAATGGAAATGGTTTCCTTTGATACTCCAGTCAGCCTTTTCAAGGACAATGTGCCCACACTGTCCTCTGATAGGTACCAGCTGATGAGTTTACATGAAAAGAGATGCAAACAAGGTTCCCTGTTCTGAGGCTATCTGTGGGTTTCCTTTTTTTTTTTTTTTTTTTTTACTCCTAACTTCCCTCTCTCACTTCCCTCACTTATAAATTGTTTGGCTTTTGTTGCTTGACTCAGCTACCAGCTGGTTCCCTCTCATGTAAGAAAACAATTAGCTGCAAAATAACTAACTCAATGCCTTTTAGTTATTCTTCGACACACGCATAGCTCCTTCATTTCACATGTTATAAAATATGCTCATCTTTTTTTACAGGGAATTAGATGAATAGGGGATTATTCTCAATTTATTAGGAGCACTCATGGTATTGTGGTTTTGTGTGAGACTGTACTTATTTTTTGGAGATGCATGTTTAAGTATTTAGGGATGAACATGATTTACTCCAAAATGATTCAGCAACAAAATGATATGCACACAAAGCAAACTGGCAGAGTGTAAACAACCATGAATATACAAGTTGTGGCAGAGTGTAAACAACTGTGAGTATACAAAGCATTGAACTATACTTTCACTCTTCTATATATTTTTTAAAGTAAAATACATTTTAAAAGACTAAGAAAAGTTCCGTTTTCATTAACACATAAGGCAGAAGCGTTTGCCAGCAGCCTTTCCAATTCCCTAGCCTCCCTTCTGTGAAATTCTAAAATAAGCAAACGTGGCCAGAAGCACCAAAAGAGGCAAGAAAGGCCAGTGCATGTATTTTGAGAGCCACCATCCAAGGTCTCAGTAATCCTTCAGAACAATCCGTCTCATTCAGTAACAGCCACCTCAGTCAGAGGCAAAAAGGTCACTAGAGATTCCGACTCACTATCAGGCTTTTTGAGCTCCTCTTCTTGCCGGTGACCTGTGGCGTGGGGAGAAACATCCAAAGCTCCAGCACCATCCACTTTGATGAGGAAGGAGTGGCAATCAGAATCTTCCCCACCTGGAATAGAGACGAAAGCAAACGGGTATGTAGGTGTGTATGTGCGTGTGTCAGCGACATTCTCCTGACTTTGTTCATCAACACGAGAAAACAGCACAGAATTCACAGTGCAACAGGCACTGCTGCAGCCTGCTCTAGGCCTAACCAAAAAACCAGAAACCCACCAAGGTTTTTATCTGAGAAGAGGCTACTTCCACCAAGACACCTCTCTTGCTAACCCCCTCCCCGCAAACCCTCAATCTTCTCCCCATCATAAACACCGAGTTTTGAGTGCCACGAGGCAGAGCCCCCCTCCCTCTAGGTGCCAGTGGGCATTCAGCTCCAGAGCCTTTCGAGGCAGAATAGGAAGGCACCTTGGGAGCCAGCACCCTCATTTACCTGTGGGGAATCAAAAGTTCCAGAGGGAGCAGCTCAAGCTCAAGGTCACACAGCAAGTTTACTCCTGATGGAGCCAAGTCTAGAACCAAGGCCTGGAAGCAGCAGCCCAGAAGCACACAGGCATACTGGTGTGGGGTGGGAGTAGGGCTTCCCTCCTCGCCTGACTCCCTGCCTTCTCATTTCTCCTAGGTCTGTGCTCCTGAAACTAGAGGAGTTGGCAATAACAGCTCTTGTGCACTGAGCACTTTCCTTGTGGGCTGTGGCCACTCCATGAGACAGTAACTATTTATCTTCATTTTATCCATGAAAAAAGTTGAGGCTCAGCGAGGAAACCTGCCTCCCTGGGCCACACAGCTTGTGAACGGCGGCACTGTGAGTGGGCGAGTGGTTTTCCCTGGAGCGCTCAGCCGTGATGCTGTTCTACCTCAAAGAAATGTCACAGTGGGCCAGGCGTGGTGGCTCACACCTGTAATCCCAGCATGTTGGGGGGCCACGGCCCGTGGATCACTTGAGTCCAGGAGTTCAAGACCAGCCTGGCCAACATGGTGAAACCATCTCCACTAAAAAATACAAAATTAGCCAGGCATGGTGGCAGGCGCCTGTAGTCCCAGCTACTCGGGAGGCTGAGGCAGGAGAACGTCGTGAACCTGGGAGGCAGAGCTTGCAGTGAGCTGAGATCGCGCCACTGCACTCTAGCCTGGGGGACAGACAGAGACTCCATCAAAAAAAAAAAAAAAAAAAAGCAAACAAGCAAGAAAGGAAGAGATAAAGAATGGAAGAGAGAGAGAAAGAAAGAGAGGAAGAAGAAGGAGGAGGAGGAGAGGAAGGAAGGAAGGAAGGAAGGCAGGCAGTCAGGAAGGAAGGAAGGAAGGAAGGAAGGAAGGAAGGAAGGAGGGAGGGATTCACAGCGGTGCGGAGGGAGGGAGGGAGGAAGGAAGGAAGGAAAAGAGGGAGAGAGGGAAGGAGGGAGGGAGGGATTCACAGCAGTTTGGAGGGAGGGAGGGAGGGAGGAAAGAAGGAAGGAAGGAAGGAAGGAAGGAAGGAAGGAGGGAACGAAGGAAGGAAGGAAGGAAGGAAGGAAGGAAGGAAGGAAGGAAGGAAGGAAGGAAGGAAGGAGGGAGGGAACGAAGGAAGGAAGGAAGGAAGTCACAGCGGTGCGGCCCCTGACTATTCTTGTCACTCTGTGGAGAGGCTCCTGGAGCAAGTTTAGAGCACCCTAGGGGTTTCCACAGGAACAGGCACGGTCCACTCACCCCTGCGAGCTGGGCCCAGGTCAGCCTCCCCAGAGCGAGAGGCAGCAGCCGCCTTGGACAACCCTTCCTCTTGGCCTCTGGCATCCTGGTCTTGAGCTGCTTTAGTCACCTCGGCTGCATGTTTCTTGTGACCTTGCTTCTTGCGACTGGCCTTCTTGTCGTGGTGGGCTCTTTTCCTGAGGGCTGGCTCCCCTGCTGCTTCCAGGGGCTCCAGAGGCTGGGAGAGGCCCTCCTTCCCCCTCGGCCTCCTGCTGGCCTTTTCTCTGGGCTCCTCAGGGCCCGTCCTCACGAAGAAGTTCAGCACGGTCTTCAGCCACCCCTTCTTGGTGTCTTGCGAAGGCCTCTGCTCACTGGGGAGAAACTCTCCGGTCTCCTCGGGAGTGGGGGCTGCAGCGGTGGTGCAGTGAGCCTCAGCAGACGGAGCTGGGCTGTCTGAATGTCTGGCCCAATCACTGGTCGCCCAGTGAAGCGCCTTCCTGGAGGGGGCAGTGGGCAGGGAGAGGCAATGGCAGTCCCACGGCTCCAAGCCTTTCCCGGGGGCCAGCGGCCTGTCCAGAGACCTGGCTTTCCTCTCCACCAGGGGCTTCCTTGGGCACCTTGGATTCTCCATCGGGCTACAACCAAAACAAACAGCTCCCTTAGTTTTTTTGGTTTTGTTTTGTTTTGTTTTTCTGTTTTTGTTTTTGTTTTTGTGACGGAGGCTCGGTCTGTTGCCCAGGCTGGAATGCAGTGGTGTAATCTCAGCTCACTGCAACCTCTACCTCCTGGCTTCAAGTTATTCTCCTGCCTCAGCCTACTGAGTAGCTGGAATGACAAGTGTCTGCCACCACACCTGGTTAATTTTTGTATTTTTAGTAGAGATGGGGTTTCACCATGTTGGCCAGGCTGGTCTTGAACTCCTGACCTCAGGTGATCCGCCCGCCTCGGCCTCCCAAAGTGCTGGGATTACAGGTGTGAGCCACTGTGCCCGGCCCAACAGCTCCCTCAGCAGAGGCCTCCTGGGCACGCCGAAGTTGGCTCCCAGCACTGACCAGTGGACCCATTCACCCTGCCTGCTAATGTGAGTAGTGTCAACTTCCCATGTCAACAATTTCTCAAAGCTGTTGTCTTGTGCAAATTCCCCCAAAACCCTCGGGGAATGGGGGTCATTATTCTCATTTTCCAGAGGATAAAACTGGACCACAGGAAGATCGTGCTCAGATCTCAGGGCTGGTCAGCTGCACCTCCAGAGCCCCTGAAAGGAACATAGCCCTGTCCACACCTAGGTTTTAGTCTCTCAAGACTGATTTGGGACTTCTCCAGAACTGCATGATAATTAATTCATCTTGTCCAAAGCCACTGGGTCTGGGGGCTTTTGTTACAGTAGCAATGGAAAATGAATACAGCCGGAGCCAGAGGCCTAGTCCTGCCCCTCACTAGCCTTGGGACTTTGGGCAGCTCAGGCACCTCTTCTGGCCCCATGTGCTCATCTGAAGCATGCCTGAGCCCTGCCCTCTCTCACAGGCTGTCGTGAATATTCCATGAGGCAGCTCCGTCAGTGGCAACTCTTTTCTTACAACTGCTCAAGCCAAAAATGTAGAGTCACCCCGACTTCTTTCTTTTTTTAAAAAATAAATAATTTTATTTAGAAAATAGATATGGGGTCTCGCTGTGTTTGTCTGGGCTGGTCTCAAACTCCTGGGCTCAAGCGATCAACCTACCTCGGTCTCTCAAAGTGCTGATTACAGGCATGAGCCACTGCGCCTGGCCTCCTTTCTTTCTTTCACTCCCACATCCACCCATCAGCAGAGCCTGTTGGCCTCACTCACATACAGCCTGTCCTCACCACAACAGCCCCCTGCGGTCTCTAGGTCCCCATCTGCACTCACCTGAACTGTTACCACCACCTCCTAACTGACCTCCCTGCTCTCCTCTCGCCCTCCCCAGTAACTTCTCCTCTTTGCAGCTATGGGGGCTTTTAAAACAAAAGTTACTTCCCTTCCTCCAAGGGTCCCCTTTCACTCAAAGTCTTTACAGCAGCAGGCACGTCCCACACGTACCAGCCTCCATCACCGCTCTGACCACATCTCTCTCACTCCACTCCACACACACAGCCCTGCTTGCTGTCCTTTAGGCCCGCCCGCCTCAGCGCCTTCACACTGGCCAGTCCCTCTTTCTAGAACATTCTTCCCTCATGGAAAGAATGAGTTTGTTCATGGTTTGTTCCCTCACTTCCTTTGGGGCTGTACTCAACTGTCACCTTCCCATCGAGGCCCTCCCTGCCCACTTCCCATCAGCGTACCCTTTCCCCTCCTACCCTATGGGCTGGTGGTGTGCAATGTCGTGTCTTTATGTGTTTAGTTGTTTCCTGTCTGAGTCTCTCTCCATCTCCTGTGTCTATTTTGCTAGGTCTTCTATCTTTGAGTTCCTAGAACAATGTCTAGCATATCACTGCTACTCAATAAGCACTTATTAAACAAATGCATAGATGTATAACATTTAGTAAATGGCACAACACATAAGGTATCTTTGGATGTGTAGTTAACATGAAATCACTGCTTTCAGGCCAATTTCATCTTAGAGCAGTAGGGACTCTTCCATTCTCCATCCAGAATGAAGCAGTGGCCAATGGAAAAAGACAAAAAAACCCTTTCCCTCCCGGGCAGCATTTCAAGCAGGCCTGGGTGTGGGCGGTGCATTTCATTTGTGTGTCTTTAATTTAATCTAAAACTGTTGGGGCTTTCCAATTTTTCCAGAGTTGTTCAGAAGGCCTCTTCCCTTCAGTGGAAGGTAAAAGAAAAATAAAATATGGTTTTGAATGCCAAACCTGAGCCCCTGGAGAGTCCTATGGAGTTTAGGACCACAGGTTGCCTGCTCTAATTTGTCATTACAGCTTTAGCATGCATTGACCAAGTAATGTTTAGTGGTATGGGATGTACTCTAAAATGTATTCTATTGCTATGCTCAGCTTAGAGGCAAAAATAAGAATCTATAATTGCAATTTCTTATGTGTGGGATCCCAGGAAAGTGAAGAAGATACAGAGAAAGAAGAAAAGAAATGGGAATACACATATTTGAAGGTGACATGAACATTTGGGATGCCTTCCCTCCTCCAAGCACCCGTCTGGGAAGGAAACCAGACGGTACTGCAGCCCCAGGTCGCCGAGGCCAGAGGCCATTGGAGCCAAGTGTCCACACATGGATGACCTTGGAGGAAATGAGAAATCAGGTCGGGGTGGAGGCAGGCAATTTAAAAGGACTTATTTGTTATTTAATGTTCCTTAAAAGGAACATCTGGGCTACACGGAAACTTTTAGCAATATGTATCTGTACCTTATATGGAAATTCACTAATATTCCTGAAAGACTCAGAGACTGGCTGCCTTACAGTTGTGTTTCCGAAGACAACGCGGGGTAGGATAAGGAGAAGAAGTCATGGGGAAAAATTTATGTTTGTTCTCACTTATTTCTCTCAACAAACATTTAATAAGCTCCCACTCTGCACCAGAAATTATGCTCGGTGCTAGGGATACAATCATGAACGAGATGCAGTGTGTGCCCCCAGAGGGAATATTCTGGTCTTCTCTGAACGCGCAGGAATAAGGATGTGAGTACACAGTGATGACAGCAATGTTCCATTCCCCTGCATCTGCTGTCTCTTCAGAAGCACATGGTCTTAAAAGAAGATAAATTTAGGTTGAAGTTCTATGTGATTTAAGATCATATTTAAAAAAAAGTAAGCCGAGCCAGAAATATTTACTGAATGGTGTCAGGGTTCTCTCTGCGTTTTCCATATGTTCCTGTGGTCAGGGCAAATTGGATGGGGTTGGCAGAGAAGCTGTTCATTAACAAAACCACAGAACCAGGACACTCTTGTTCAGCTCAGCCTCTCTTCCGTCTGCACAGATTTGGCTCCATGGGACCCATCGCACGGAGGGCCAGCGCTTCCTTACCCAGTTAACGGGAAGAGAGACGCAGTCATCTTTTAAAGAGCTATCATCGCCATGGAAACGGTTTTCGCCACTGCCAATGGCGGCAGTATCCTCCTAATGCATTCCAAGGACACGCTGCTCCTCCTGATCAGAACATTAACACAATCCCACCAGCACATGCTTTCCCTGATGTTTTTTCAGGAAAGCTACTGTGATTTGGCCGCCCCCTCCCTGGAATAACCGGTGCCCTGAGCCCGTGGGGAGATGCGAGAAACTAAGGCCAGGAGCCCCGCAGCTGCTGCTGCAGCCCAGAGGCAGGAAGGGGGCTGGGTGACGCCCAGCCTCTGCTACCCAAGAGTTTCCCCAATGAAGAGATTCCAGGGTCTCCCAAGGCTTCCTAATTCCAAATCCAGTGACCTCTTCCCATGCCTTGTCCTCCCTAACGTGCTGCAGCATTTGATACCAGCCCTACTTCCTTCTTTTCTCTTTCCTCTCTGGGTGGCTGTGACTGTGCTCAGTCCAGCTCTCTCCTCCCTCTCCCCCGCTCCAACTGCTCCTCCTCTGTAATGTTTCAAAGATTGTCTTCAGCTCTGGGCCAGGGATTGAGAGAGTGCGGCTGACTGGGGAAGACACACCAACACGCCCCCAGGAAGACCCCTGAAGAACCTCTGTGGATGATGTGTCCTCAGACTTTTAAAGTCTCTAAGCCCTGGGAAGCTTGTCTTTTAATCCTAATAACCTCCTCTTTCCTACATGGGCCAAAATTAAAGACTTTCCAAGTATAAAATTCTGCTATCCAGGATTTATCAAAGCAAGACTTTCCTTTCTTCTTCTTTGTTTTGTACCCCAGGTGCTCAACTACATTCAGCCCGACCACCAGGGAATCCCACCCCGCGCAGGCTGTGCTCCAGACCAGGAACTCTAAGCCAGCAGCGCGGCCTCACTATGCGGAAACCCAGCTGCTCTCATAAACTTGTTGTGGATGTCAGAGCAAAGTCCAAATCAGCTCAGAAATACCCGAGTGATCTACAGATCACAAGACTTCTTCTGATAAGATGTGGCATTTACTGGTGACATGTCCAGCAACAGCGACAAAGAACCAGAGAAGGCTCACAAAGCTGACCCTGGAGCAGGAAGTTTGCCTGCCTTCCCCAAGCTTGCTGCTGTGTATTGTTTACTTTCTAAGTTGCACGGTGACCTCATCTCTATGCTGTTTGCTAATTTGTTCACCTGGCTGCCTTACTCTCTAACTGCTTTGGTGCCTTTCATGGAGATAACTTTGCGGCTCCCCTTTTCCACCCATGATTCACACAATAGAAACTTCACAGAGAGAAAACCTGCGGCACACCCACAGCAGCACCCTGAGGGACAGAGTGTGTGGCACACACACGTGGACCCACAGTCAACACCACAGACATCCATGTGTCACCAGAACACACTTGTGCACACCACAGACATACACAGACTCAAGACGCCCTGTATTTCTCCTGTCCCAAGTGTAAGGGAATAATTATATGACCAAGCTCACTACTTGCCATCGGTGCTAACTCTAAGTTCCATGAGAGGGGACCTGAGCCTGGGAGGCTCTCGGTGTTCGTGAAACAAATAAATGATACATAGGCACGTGAAAACCCAAACCATCTCACCTTCATGCAGCCACACGGCGTCCAGAGAGCCCTTTCCTTTACATGATCTCATTCCATCTTTGCCAAGGGCTGTGACTCAGATGGGCTAACAGTGGTGCACTGAGGCTCTCAACCATTAAGAGACACGCCCCAGGTCACATAGCCGGGAAGCAGAGAGCTGAGACTCAAATTCACTTCTCCCGATTCGAATCCTATCTTCTCTATTCTACACCAAATGGCCTCATGTAAGCATAGATACACATGCACACATTTACATATGGACTTAGAGGGGAGAAACCTGCTCTTTCACACTGATGGAAATAACCACATTCACATACACGCCTACAGTGACCTGTGCACACAGAGTCACACAATCACGTGTGCCTAGGTATAGACACCCATGCCCTCCCCACCCCGTTCTGTCCTCTATCTAAGACCACAGGCAATGCAACACTGCATGAGGAGTCAGTCAGGACTGTGGGTTATAATCCACCCCCAGCCTCTAAATTCCCATCCAAGAAAGCAGTAGACCATGAGTTTTTTTAATAAGATCTCCCCGTTCTTGGACTAACTTCCGAAACCTTAAAACTCATAGAATCTTAATTCAACCATAGGTAATAATAACACCTCCCATTTATCGGGGGTTCCCTCATGTACCTTCACATAAAGTCTAGAACTCGACCTCTACCACATCCTATAGGGAAACTAGCAGGTGAGCTATGTAATGCTGCCCCAACCTACAGACAAGAAAACTGAGGCCCAAGGAAGTGAAGTTCCTTGCTCAGGGTGCCGGCTAATAAGCAGGATTGGGACTTGAATACAGAGTTTTAAGTCCAAGTGAGCCCAGAGCTCTTTGAGAAACACCCCATTGAGATAATGTCACTGAACCCTGCTTCATCTTTTCAGAGATAAGAAAACTGATTCCCCCACCTCCACCCCTGCTGCCTCTCTGGGAGGGCCCAGCATGCTGGAAGCAGAATTGGAACTGGACTCTTGGTTTGACTCCCAGGACTAAACTCCTCTCCGGACCCCAAGATACATACCCACTGCTCCAGCCCCCAAAGGAGAGGGTATTGTTCAACCAACCTTGGACCACAGAAATCGCTTTTTTTCCTGAACACCCGGGGCTGGGATCTTCAGACAAGAGGTCTCTGTGTTAGGCTCTCCTCTCTGTCAGCTGGAAGTTGTGTCCAATGAGAAGTCAGACCCAGCTCTCCCAGGGAGAAGATGCCACGACTTTGGTGCTGGCAATTTTCTGAGTGTCTCAGAAGATGCTTTGGCCATCCATATATATAGTATCTCCCAGGAGCTGAGCTCATGGCAGCCAATCCAGAGAGCCATGGGCTGGCTCACCTGCCTCCACCTGTTACCGCCCATCCCAGGGCTGCTCCCCGCTCCTCCAGTGATAGGAGGCTTAGCTCAGCTACCCTGGAAAAAACAGTTTCACTTGACAACTTCCTTATTGCACCCAAACCCCAATAAGAAACCAAAGCTCAGAAAATAACCTAAGGTCTGGCTGGGGAAAGCCCCACCTTAGAGTTGAAAACAAGCCTTAATGGGAAACGCAGGTTAGGGAAGAAAGTGGAGGTAGCTTTATTGCCTTTACAACATCCCTCAGTTATCTTTGAAGATTAGTGGGTACCTAGAAAGAAAGGTCAGCGATGGGATACATACGTGCCTTGACCTGGAGGCAGCCTAGAAGAAAGAGCCCACAAGAGCCACGTGCTCCAGATCTGCTGCGCCCGGGAAGGGTTGCCATGGATCTTGAGAGAACATTCTAAGAAGTCCTAAAAAGTCAGATTTCCACTTTCTGTAATGCCTTATTTTAAAAAATAGAGTGTAAATACATGTTTATAATCAGAAAAGAAAAACTAGTTTTATTAAAATGAAAGCAAAGGCCAGGCACGGTGGCTTATGCCTGTAATCCCAGCACTTTGGGAGGCCAAGGCAGGTGGATCACATGAGGTCAGGAGTTTGAAACCAGCCTGGCCAACATGGTGAAACCCCATCTCTACTAAAAATACAAAAATTAGCCGGGTGTGGTGGCAAACACTTGTAATCCCAACTACTCAGAAGGCTGAGGCAGGAAAGTCACTTGAACCCAGGAGGCAGAGGTTGTAGTGAGCTGAGATCATGCCACTGCCCTCCAGACTGGTGACAGAGCGAGACTCTGTCTCAAAAAAAAGTTAAGAAATTCTATTTTGGTTCATTAACACAGAGAGGCATTACAAAATAAATACGGAGGCACCAGAGTTTGGAGTCAGCCCCGTCTGGAGACACCTGTCAGCTATGTAACCTCAGCAGAGGACAGAATGTCGCTGAGCTTGTGCTCACTTATAAAACAAGTGGTCATCTGAGAGGGTAGTTGTAGGGCCAAATGTGCTAATGCTTATAAAGAAAAGAAGGAGGCCAGGCATGGTGGCTCACATCTCTAATCCCAGCACTGTGGGAGACCAAAGCAGGAGGATTGCTTGAGCCCAGAAGTTCAAAACCAGCCTGGACAACCTAGTGAGATCTTATCTCTACTAAAAATTTTAAAAATTAGCCAGGCATGGTGGCACATGCCTGTAGTCTCAGCTACTCAGGAGGCTGAGGCAGGAGGATCGCTTGAGCCCAGGAGGTCAAGGCTGCAGTGAGTCGTGATCATGCTACTGCACTCTAGCTTAGGCAGCAGAGTGAGATCCTGTGTCAAAGGAAAAAAGAAGAAAGGAAGGAAAGGAAGGAAAAAAAGAAAGAAAAGAAGGAAGAAAGGGAGGAGGGAGGGCAGGCGGAAGGAAGGGAGGGAGGGAGGGAGGGAGGGAGGGAGGGTATGGAGTGCCAAACATCTTTCTTTCTGTGTATTAACAGTACCTGGTACTTGTAAGGATTCAATAAAGGCCCAATATTTTATTACAGGCAACAGAGTTATTAATGCTTCATTCATTCTGTCAACAGGTTTTGGATCCAGCTATGTGCCAGACACTGTCTCAGCACTAAATTTAGAATTTATTAGTCAAGAAGTCACCCAGCCTTCAAACAAAGGTTAAATAATATTACATATTTTTCATTTATTTAATGAAACTATTCTGTCACCCACTTCTTCCAGGCCCTGTGTGTACTGTATGTGTTCTTTCTTATCCTGAGGTGAATATGCCTGGCCTGGCCCAGCCCTCACAGAGTCCACAAAGTAGTTGGGAAGAGAGAAACACACAGAGAAAACCATACAAGCAAGCAGAAGGGAATGGGAAGTTGTTTAATGCATACAGAGTTTCAGTTTGAGAGGAATGTTGTACCACCACCTCCACCATTGAACCATCTCCACAACTTTTCAGATGTGGAGGATTTTCACAAGGCAAACTCAAATTCAACTTTTGAGTTGTGAAGATGGTTCAGTGGTGGAGGGTGGTACAACAATCAAAATGTACTTAATGCCACTGCACCGTACACTTTATAAAGGTTAAACCAGTCAACTTTATGTCATGCATATTTTGCCGCAATAAAAAGAAGGGGAGGGGCGGAGAGCCACGTGGGACACTGTGCAGGCACCTCCCATGTACCCAGCAATCCCATCTGCAGGTACATGTGCTCCTAGGTTCTCACAGGAGGGAGAGCCATCATGGGCCGCTCTGAGCATTCCACACCTTTTCCATCAGGGGTCTGGGGGAGCAACCTAGCCCTGCCCTCAGTGCCTCCCAAAGATCACATCCTGGGCTGGAAATCTGGAGACAGACTCTGGCAGCTACCCGACCCGGGGCCAAGGTCGGCTACACTATGTGTGAGCCCCCATGCAAAATGAAAACAAAGCACCCTTGCTCAAAAAGTATTAATAGTTTCAAGACAGACAGCAGAACTCTAAACCAAGCACCAGGCCCTTCTGAGTGCACACCCTGTGCAACTGTCCAGGTCACACAGCCTTGAAGGGGGCTCTGAAGGTGACAGTTCCCAACCCTGTGCTGGGAGGGAAGATGGGAGAGGGAGACAGAGGGAGATTGAGAGAGAATATTTTTTAAATGTTTATTTAAGTATAACGTATAAAAAGGTGCACAGATCATAAGGAGATAGCTCCATGAATTTTCACAAAGGGAATAAACCTGTGTAAACCAGCACCCAGATGAAGAAAGAGAACATTCCTGGCACCCCAGAACCCGCCTTGTTCCCCTCATGACTCCCAGATTAGATTAGTTTTGCCTGTTTTTGAGCATCATCGGTCTGCATGTTTTCTTTTACGCCTGGCTTTTTTCACTGCATGTCTGCGGGACTCAGCCATACTGCTGTGCTGTTACTCTCAGACAGACAATCCCAAGTGTCAGAGCCGGTGCGGGGCAAACAGAATTCTCATACGCTGCTGGTAGGAGTGGAAAATGGTGCAACTACTTGGAAAAATCGGCTGGCAATATCTACCAAAGCTGAACAAACACCTGCCCTATGACCCAGCAATTCCACCTATGGATAGATACATAACAGAAATGCATTCCCTTGGCCCCCGCCAAACAACTTTTATATGAATATGTATAACAGTGCTGTTTGTGATAGCCAAACCCTGAAAAACTTGAAATGACTTAAATGCCCATTAACAGGAAAATGTATAAACAGTGGCATATTCACAAATTTGAGATTTTGTTGTTTTTTGTTTTTTCCCGGAGAGTCTGTACATTTGTTTAGAAAGATTTTTCACCCGCTTGTGTGGCCTGGGTGTGCAGCGCAGGGCACGGAAGATAAAAGTGGTCTTAGATAAAAATGATGGTAGCCAACAGAGAGGGGTGGGTGGAACACAGGGCCCCAGTCTCAGGAGCGCAGGATGTGGTGGTTCTGAGTAACAAACCTCAGAAGGATTTTCACAGGGCACCCTCTAACCTCTCTGAGTGTGAACGCTGCTTCCCAGAAATCCGTCCCCATCCCGCCAGAATTATCTACATATGGAAATGAGCCCGGGCCTTCATTTGCTCTGCGGCTCCTGTTCACCGCAGAGCAAAGAACAAGCTGGTGAACTCTCACTCCTTTCCCGGGCCACACCCTCTGCCTGGCGCCTGGTAATTCGAGGTCCACCCTCCAACCCACCGGCCTTCCCCAAGTCTCCTTCCCTGTCCTCAGTGAGAGGTACCTGAAAGACTATGACCTCACTCCTTCTCAAGCTCCGTCAGGACCCAGGACCAACGTCCCCAGCCCGAGAATAGCCTCAGAATATCCCCTCGGTTGCTGTGTGCGAGGCCTGATTTAGGTCTTGTGCCGGAAGTGCTCAGTGAATCCCAGTTCCCCTCCAGACTCCCCTGCCTCGTGGCTCCCAGCGACTCCTAGACTCTCCTCTCCCTCAGCGGTCTGCGGGTCCCCGCTGCAAGTGGGGGCCTCGAGTGCGCATCCCCATGGAGTGGGAAAGCGGTGGCTTTGACATTAGGCAGACCTGCGCCGCAGCTCCGGCTGCCCACCCGCAGGGGGCGCGCTGGTGATCGCAAAGACAA